ACGTCTTTCTAAGATTTGGTTTCTTCAGTTCGATTAATATTTCATTTCATGTCACGTGAATGTTTGTGAATGAAGCATTTAGAAATGTTTAATTTCATTGTAATTTCATTATGGTCTGAAGCGTTGTAGATGAGTATTGAATCGTTAGGTCCAGTGGTTGATGTTAATTGGACTGAGCTACTATGCTACTGAACCCGACCAAACGACATGTCAACTAAAATAAAAGAAAATTGTTCGTTCTTCTTTCTAACTCACGGCTGGAAATTGACCGTAACATAAAAGAATAAATAATTTAACGTTTAAAATTAAATCATGATTTAGTCCCTAAACTATATTAAAATTGAATTTAAGAGCTTGTAGTTTCATCTAATTATTTTTATTATACCATTGAAATAAACCAAAAGGGGGAGGGAAATTAAGGGCACTTGGTCTTGTTGCCATGCGTGGTCATGCCGGTGTAGCAAGTGCCGCACATCTCACGGTTCCCTGAAGTCCCCGGCGGCACGCAGTTGCAGCGCAAGCAGCACGTCCCGCACACCCTCAAGCACCGGTTCGGCCTCGAGTGCGCTCCACATCGCCGCTTGCACTCCCATCCACAGTCTACAGACAATTCTTATTAAATAATGAACTAAACTCAACCTAATCATAAAATTTAAGTCAATCCAGCTCGAATAAGTTTATAATCCAATTCAAACCGTACTTATTGAGTTGGTTTGATCAGATTTTGCGAGTAATCGAATTTTTGAACACTACTATGATTTAAACCTAACCCAACACGAATAAGTTTATAACCCAATTCAAACCGTACGAGTTGAGTTGAGTTGATTAGATTTTTTTTGGACAATCGGGTTTTTGAACACTACTATGATTTAAACCTTACTCAACTCGAATAAGTTTATAACCCAATTCAAGTCGTACGGGTTGAGTTGGATTGATCAGGTTTTTCGGGCAATCGAGTTTTTGAATACCACGATAATTTAAACCTGACCCAACTCAAATAAGTTTATAACTCAATTCAAACCGTACGGGTTGAGCTAGGTTGATCAGGTATTTTTGCGTAATCAGGTTTTTGAATACCACTATGATTTAAACCTAACTCAACTCGAATAAGTTTATAACACAATTCAAGTCGTACGGATTGAGGTGGATTGATCAGGTTTTTCGGACAATCGAGTTTTTGAACACCACTATGATTTAAACCTGACCTAACTTGAATAAGTTTATAACCAAATCCAAACCGTATGGATTGAACTGGGTTGATAAGGTTTTTCAGGTAATTGAGTTTTTGAACGCTACTATTAGTTTCTTACCTATTTTGGTCATCACCCTCTCGTTTGGCCTCCTCACCGTCCCTCCTCCTCCTCCTCCCCCTCCGGGGTTTCCATCAAAGCCGACGGACCCTCCATGAAGAAAGCTTGCCGGTGAAAGGCAAAGGAAGGCGAGAACTCCAAGAAGAAGAAGGAAACGAGCAGCCATGGGAGCTTTCCTAAGCGTTATGAGGACACTTCCTTCAACATCTTCTTGAGTTGGTCATATAATGGACTCTTGTGGTTATGTGAATTTCCCAAACAGGACATGGTTTGTTGGGTAAATTACATGAGAGTGGCAGAGTGGGCGAGCTGGAAAGCCTGTCGTGTGGGGACATTTTTGTCTTTTTGGACACACATTTTGCCATGCATGTCACTACTCATAATAATCCCAACCAAATGGCACTCTCGAGCTGATCGTAATTCATGTCGGTTTCGTGGTCATTTTTCTAATAGGATCAATCTCACTAACCCAAAAAGAGTCTTGCACTCTAAACTAACCGAACCCAAACCCTATTATACTCAAATTTTAAAAGATTAAAAAGTTTAACGTCTGTAACCGATGTTAACGATAGACACTGATTTATGAATTTTTGAGAATTTAGTTGTTAATGTAACGTGAATCAGCAGCATTTTTCGACAATTCAATAAAAAAAATAGAGGATTGGGTTGAATTATAAACTGTATTTAAATTGTTTGGATTACCGACTAAAAATTTCGAATTGGTTCAAAAGCGAGCTCGTAATGGAAACCAGCTTGGGTGATGCTCCACGAACATGCTGTCTTCCACTATTTGCATAAAGACGACAATAAAGTTGCTGAAAATAATTTGCAAAACCACACACTTGTGTTTTTACTTGGGAATTGAATTCTGTCCTTTTTGGACTAAGAAGTTGGATATGTGTGTCCTCTAACCTATTATAGATTCGGTTACGTAATAGTTTCAGATGATGATTAGTTTGATCTTACAATCCAATCCAAACTTAGCTCAGTTTAGTAGATTAGCCGACCAACAAATTAAGTCTAGGTTGGGTTAGTGTGAGATCTCACACACGTTTAGAGAGTGTAACGAAACATTCCTTTTAAAAGTGTGAAAATTCTTAATACACTTATTTTAAAATTGGGAGACTGACAGCGATACGTAACGGGCCAAAACAGATAATATTTGCGAGCTGTAGTCTTAGGCTGTTATAAATGGTATCAGAGCCAGACAGCAGGCGGTATGCCAGCGAGGACATTCGGCCCCTAAGGAGGGTGGACTGTAAGATCCCATATTGATTGGAGAGGGGAGCGAAACATTCTTTATAAGAGTGTTTGGGTCTCAAGGAGAGTGGATTGTGAGATCCCACATCGATTGGAGGAACGAAGCATTTCTTACAAGGGTGTAGCAATCTCTCACTAGTAGACGTATTTTAAAACGGTGAGACCAACGACAATACATAACAGATCAAAACGAACAATATTTCCTAATGTGGGCTTGGGTTATTACACCTGGCGTGGCCCAATCCTCTGGACATCCAACCCAACAACCCACACGTATTATTGGGCCCAACCCCACGTACACACGTCCTACTAGTATGGAGCAACCCAGCACCAAACACCAACTCAAACTCATCGACACGATCCAAGCCATCCATTTTTTACAGGTTTCGATGCATAAAGACATTCTATGATACATATTATGACATGATATGACGTGATACGAAAGAAAATACAAAATTATTTTTAAAAAAAATGAGGAAATTCAAGAAAGGGTTTGATCATAACAGACACTCCAAGAACTTCTCCTATTCAACTGAAAACCATTGTATGGATCCCATATTTTCTCTCATTCATTAATTTTAATCCAAATTTGGTTGTTTTTCTTTAGCTTATTGGTTCCTTCTTCTTCTTATTATTCTTCATTGCCCTTCATTGGAAGTGGCTTCCCCATAGATAAGGAGGAAGCAATAACTTCTCTTCTTCCTCCTCCTTTTCACCTCAACCATGGCTTTCCCTTTTCTTTTTCTCATTGTCCTCTCCGTCCCCGTCTCCGTCGACTCGAAACTCACCCTCGGTTATTACCAAAAAACATGTCCCAACTTCGAGAAGATCATCCGCGAGACCGTCACCAATAAACAAATCAATAGTCCAGTTACTGCCGCAGGAACCCTACGACTCTTCTTTCATGACTGCATGGTCGATGGTTGCGATGCCTCTGTCCTCATTTCCTCCAATACCTTCAACAAAGCCGAACGTGAGGCCGATATCAACCATTCCCTCTCTGGGGATGCCTTTGATGTCATCATTCATGCCAAAACCAACCTCGAACTCGTCTGTCCTGGCATTGTATCTTGTTCTGATATCTTAGCTCAGGTAAGTTTTTTTAGTTTTATGCTCGTAATCTTCTACTTACTTAACTAATGTGAGTGTTCGACGAGTCTGGTTGATTTCAGGCGACTCGGGATTTGGTGGTGATGGTTGGAGGTCCGTTCTACAACGTTCGATTAGGGAGAAAAGATGGGATGATATCAAAATTAGAGAATGTGGAAGGGAACCTCCCATTAGTGAGCGATTCAGTGGACCAACTCATTGATATGTTCGCCGGAAAAGGGTTCACGACCAAAGAATTGGTGGCACTGTCCGGCGGCCATACCATCGGATTCTCCCACTGCAAGGAGTTCGCCGGCCGCCTCTTCAATTTCAGCGCCACCACACCCACTGACCCAGACATTTACCCAAAATTCGCCGAGAAACTCAAGGTCATGTGCGGTAATTTTCAAAAGGACTCCGACATGTCAGCATTCAACGACGTAATGACACCTGGCAAATTCGACAACATGTACTTTCAGAATCTGCCACGTGGACTTGGATTATTGGCTACTGACAATGCGCTAGGTAAGGATCCGAGGACCAAGCCGTTTGTGGATATGTACGCCGTGAACCAGACGGCGTTTTTTAACGACTTCGCTCACGCTATGGAGAAACTCAGTATTCACGGCGTTAAGACGGGAAGGAAAGGGGAAGTTCGGCGAAGGTGTGATTTGTTCAATTCTATTAAGACATAAGACATTTGGATTTTCTTTTTTTCTTTTTTTAACAAAATAAACAAAAAAAAAAAAAGGAACAATGAAGGAAATTAATGTTGTTTCTCTAAGAAGAAGGGCAATATATATATATATATTTAACTTCTTATTTATTATTTATTTTTCGTTCGGAAATTGGTCTCTTTTGTTTGCTTTCGTTCGGAATCGTGATCAATTATGATGGTACTGATATTGTTTTTTGGGCGGTGATGATGGTCTACCCTACTTAATGGATCTGAGTCGTTACATCTACCTCATACTATTAAAGTTATTATTGCAGCAAAAGGAAGGTTGGAATGCCAACAAGCGTCTATTATTGAATTCACTCACCAGATAGTACCCCATTTTTGGAATGCCCAATGCCAAGTCTTGAATGGGTAAAACGCCAATCCCTAAAACGTACTTTATCTACTGGGTTACGAGTGGGCATTTTACCAGAGGTTACTATTGCATCTAAATGATACCGAAGGTTAAATGTTTACTACCTAATCTATGTCCTTGTGTTTAATATTGCCCAAAAGTACTGCCCACCAACGACCTCGGTTCGAGGTTCTTTTTTTCGTAAAATAAGGCCCACTTGAAAATCGGGGAAAGTTTGGCAAGTGATTTCTATAAGAATATGACAAACTATCACCCAACATAGTCAAATCAATTTACTAGCAGAAAAAGCATCCCAAAATGCAGGCATTGTAGCATGTCATTTTCTACTTTGTGGGGGCAAATGGGATGATAAAAAGGATTAGAAGCTTTTCAAACATATACACTTGTGAAAACATTTACATTACAAATTTAAAGGTTCTTGGAGTACTTCAACAAGGGACAAGACTGATTTTCGGATACCTTTCGCTGTCGGCCGCCGCCTGTTCTCTTCGAACATTTCGAACAGAGCTTGCCATGAGTGTAAAGAAGACAGTTGAGATCAAATTTGAGATGATTTGGGATCCTTTGGTTGAGATGAAGATATGTTTTGTTCCTGTCCGCCTCATCAGGGACCCAACCGATGAATTTCGCAATCTCGAAGACCTGCAAACATGTTGAAGAATCAAAATCTTCCAATGGTCTTAAAGAAAAAGGATCACTAACTCATCAGAAATCAAAACTCAATTATATGTTACTCACATGGGTGTCTACTGGAAAGTCGTCTTTCTGAAGATTGAACATCAATACACAGGCTACCTGTCAAATATAACTTGTATGATCGATTCAATTCATCGGTAACACTAAGCAATCAAGATGCAAAACCGACGCGACCTGGCTTATAAACTATGATGCCTTACACAAGCCAGAGATAACATGATTCAATTCATCCGTAACACGAAGCAATCAAGATGCAAACCAACTCGACCTGGTTTATAAACCATGATGCCTTAAACAAGCCAGAGATAGCATGATTCAATTCATCCGTAACACTAAGCAATCAAGATGCAAACCGACACGACCTGGTTTATAAACCATGATGCCTTAAACAAGCCAGAGATAGCATGATTCAATTCATCCGTAACACTAAGCAATCAAGATGCAAACCGACGCGACCTAGTTTATAAACCATGATGCCTTAAACAAGCCAAAGATAGCATGATTCAATTCATCCGTAACACTAAGCAATCAAGATGCAAACCGACGCGACCTGGTTTATAAACCATGATGCCTTAAACAAGCCAGAGATAGCATGATTCAATTCATCCGTAACACTAAGCAATCAAGATGCAAACCGACGCAAACAAGCCAGAGATAGCATGATTCAATTCATCCGTAACACTAAGCAATCAAGATGCAAACCGACGCAACCTAGTTTATAAACCATGATGCCTTAAACACCGTAACACTAAGCAATCAAGATGCAAACCGACGCAACCTAGTTTATAAACCATGATGCCTTAAACAAGCCAAAGATAGCATGATTCAATTCATCCGTAACACTAAGCAATCAAGATGCAAACCGACGCGACCTGGTTTATAAACCATGATGCGTTAAACAAGCCAGAGATAGCATGATTCAATTCATCCGTAACACTAAGCAATCAAGATGCAAATCGACGTGACCTGGTTTATAAATCATGATGCATTAAACAAGCCAGAGATAGCATGATTCAATTCATCCGTAACACTAAGCAATCAAGATGTAAACTATCCATAACACTAAGCAATCAAGATGCAAACCGACGCAACCTGGTTTATAAACTATGATGCCTTAAACAAGTAAGAGAGCATGAATTCATCCGTAAAACTAAGCAATCAAGAAGCAAACCGACGCGACCCTGTTTATAAACTATTATGCCTTAAACAAGCCAGAGATAGCCGCAACAGATGTGATTAGAATAAAGACTCTTCAGCAGAAGCCTTAAACTAGGATCCCAATAGATACAGTTAAGTTGAGGTATAGCTCCATGCACAGCAAGATCTAGAAATGAAACTAAAATTAGGCTATGAAGGCTTGTTCATTCAAACAATACCGTTTTGGGACCAATTCCTTTGAAGGTGGACAGTTCAGCCTTTACTTCATCGATGGATAAATTGTGCAAGTACTCCAGGCATAATTTGCCTCTTCTCTTTGACAAAGAACTCAATATGTTTTTAATGCAAGAGGCTTTTGTGGGTGCTAATCCTCCACATCTTATGGCATCCTCTATGCATTTGGATTCAGCTGAAAGAACCTACAGCAAAATTTGAGTTCATAAAATCAAAACCTCCAAGGTTTCAGGAAAACCAATAGAACTCCAATAATCAATCACATTATCCATAGGAGATATCAAGTTTTCCTTTAAACTGTAAGCAAGATATATTATGAAAGATTAGTTTGAAATTATCAGAAAACAGAAAAGATTTGAGGTCTTTCATTAGAATCATAACTGATAACACAAACAAAACTAATAAAACTTATGGTCCAGCAACATGATAAGCTTCATTTCAATCAGTTGTTCATCTCGAAAATGATATTCAAATTTTTCAAAAGGTAGCATTGACAATACAGATGAATTAGCAGACATATAGCAATACATCTCAAGTATCGAGTAACGAATACTTCACTGAACAATAACTATGAGCATCAGTTTCATTTCCTAAATCCTTCATTGCAAAAAGAAATCGACAGTACAATCCAATAATAAGCAAATTAAGCCATTAAAAAAAACGATGAAGACTCACATCTTCCCAGGTAGCAAAAGCAGACTTGAGAGAAGCAAAAGCCTTCTCAGAATTAGCCTCCGTAGTGTTTTGCGATAACACTGTCCTCACTAACCCATCCAGAACGCTCTCCGATTTCACATTTTCCGCTAACTCACCACCGCTGCCGTCCACGACGGAGCAGCACTCGCTCAACCTCTCTCTCTCCTTCCGATATATCACAAACTCTCGGGGAAAACCATGGAGATTCAACAGATCGTCTCGTACGGACAAACATTCGTCAGAAGTGGGCGAAGAATAAGCCGGATACGGTTCATTGGTTGAGCAATCGAAGCCATTAACAGTTCTGATTGATTTTGCTCGAGGTCCATTCGAGTGAGAATCGCCATCTGGCTCTGGTTTTTGAAGACGCCTCTTTTTACAGGTCGTCTTCTTCATCACGCCGAGTGAAGCTGATTCGTTCTCTGATCGTATGGACTATGAAGCCCTTTTTGGGCTTTTTCAATTGGGCTTCTCAAACGGCCCAAGTAAACTCGCGAACTAAATAGTTCAGCCCAATTAGCTAAAACGGCCCAAGTAAACGGTTGAAAAGTAAATTTTGTTTTTTTTTTATATATAATTATTTTAGGGCATGATTAAAGATGACGTGGAAATTGATTATAAATAATAAAATGTCTTTGGATTTTGTCCGTTAAGTTGAATGGTAAATATGGAATCTTATTTTGTCTGCTACAATTCCTGCTGTCACGCATGGAATTTGAGACCGCCCAATCGTTGATTGCCACGATGTTTTAGTCAACTCCTCACCAAACCTTCTCATTTGACTTTTATTTTCTATATTTTTTTTTAAATCACTTGTTAATCTTAATTATTTTGTGACCTTTGACTTTAAATTTAAATAAAGGTTCAAACGCATCACTAGCAAATATTGTATTATTTGGATTTTTGTTTAGGTTGCTTTCGAGCTTTCTCTCAAAATTTTAAAACACTTCTACTAGAAAGAGATTTATATATCTCTCGTTTTTCTTTTCAACCGACGTGAGATCTCACATTACTAGCTAAACCAAAAGTTCTCCACAATTATAGGAATAGAAATAAGTTAGGCTTGAATGGACTCCCGAGTTTCACCATGTTTTTGACATAAATAAATAACTATATAACAATTACATCCTATAAACAAAGAAAATCAAAACTTAGTGGTATTTGTAGAGTACCGGTTCAAGCCAACACCAACCCGGCCGGTCCAGCTGACTCCACCAGAATCAACCCGATCCATCTCAACCGAACCATTCCCGCCAGTTCTCATCATCTGCAAGATTCTCTTAGCCCTCTCCCTCGCCCTTCCACTTCCCCTTTCTTCAACCTCTCTCAAAGCTTCCACCGCGCCCGCCGCCGTCGCCAATCCTTTGAATCGGAATCCGCCTTGACTCAGCGCGTGAAGCGCCACCACACAATTCTCCCGAGTCGACTCGGAATCCATCTCCTTCTCCTTCAACATCCCGACCAAACAATCCACCGCATTCGCATCCAACATCGCCGATCTTCCGTCGACACAGGCGGAGATATTGCACAGAATCAGCAATATTCGACTCGCAAAGCCTTCAATTCTCGTCAACGATAGCAGAATTCCAACGGCGCCGATTTTCACTAATTTTACTCGGTTGCTTGGATTCAATGTCAAATGGTATAAACAAAGCGCTGAATCGTTCCTCGTCCTCTCGTTCTCAGATCGGAGCGCGTTCATCAACACCGGTAAGCCGCCGAGAATTCCAATCGCCATTTTATTCTCGTCGTCTAAGGATAAACTGAACAGAGAACCGGCGGCGTGTTCTTGCGATTCGGCGGATCCGCGATCTAAAACATCGATTAATGGCGGAACGAATCCGGATCGTACGATCTTCATTTTGTTCGATTTCTCGATTGAGAGATTCACGACGGAAGCTACGGCGTTGATTTGGATGTTCATAGATCGAGATGAAACCAGAGGAAGTAGTGCAGCGAGTAATTCCTTCGTGCATAACGAAGCCCTAATCGATTCGTCCGATTTCGTTAAATTTCTTAGGGAAATTACTCCTTCTTGTTGCTCGAATTCCTTATCGCTTCTGAATTTCGAGATGATTCGAGATTCCTCCTCTGAATTCCCTTCTCTGTCAAAGCTTTCATGTACGATCTCCTCCGTCTGCGGCGGAGGAGCATAACAAGAAGGTTGCGTTTTGAAGGGCAAAATAGTACTTTCACATACGATCTCCTCCGTCTGCGGCGGCGAGTTCAGTTGAAATCGATTGACTCGGAGGCCAACCTCCGTCGCCGCATGAACCGCAACTCCCGGGCGTTTATCGGCGACGACTCTTAACAACTCGGTATCAGAAGACAGGAATCGATTATTTTGCCTTTGCTTCTCCATTAACTGACGAACGATTAACTCAATCGAGGTGTAATCCGGCGGCTGTGGGTGTTCGATTCCGTTGTTATCGCACCATTTAAGAATCGTGAGTTTCATGTTTCTGTTGGTGATAACAGAGGAGAAATCCGCCGTTGAGCCGTCGTCATCCGTCGGGGAAAATCCGAAATCTTGACAAACGCGAACGGAGAGGCGCTCGTAGGTCTGGCCGGAGGAGACGACGACTGGGTCCGCCATTAATGACCTGGAAATTCCACAGAGGTACTCTGGAGGGTAGTGAACGGGGCGGTCGGGTTTGGAGGTTGAAGAAGATCGGTGATGGAAGAATTTCAACCTGTGATTGCCATGGCCGACCATTTCTGAGGCAAAAAACAGAGACGAAATCCAGAAATTTGTGAGGTTTGGAATTGATTTATGTGAAATATTTGCGCGGAGAGAGAAGGATTTTCTTCCTTTGTTTTTGAGAGGCTGGATTGAAGACTGTCGGATTGGGACCGAGCCGGATTTCTTGACTTTGAGATTTTGTGTATTAGATACGTTTTAAAAATTGTGTGACTGCAGTAATTTGAGTTAGTTCAGCACCAATAAAAAATTCCCAAGAAATTCCAAGAATTCTTGTTATACGCTAATTCCAATCCTCAATTCTCTTTTTTAGGTTCATTGATATTGAATCAATCGAACGCACTTCTAATACTTGTTCCACTTTTGGAAGACCCTGCGTTATATCGCCAGATCATGATTTTTCATATATAAATGTAACTAAGGTATCTCCTTCGTAAAGGATTTCTCCATAATGTCGATGAACAGTTGCTCCTGAAGTGGCCAAATAAGGCTCAGCTGATCTTATTACTACTTGTAACATAACGTATCAAAGTAAATAATATATACTAGTAGTAGACTTGAGTTGTTACAAATGATATCAGAGCTAGACATCGAGCGATGTGCTAGCAAGAATGTTGAGCTCCAAAGGGGGTGGATATCGAGCGATGTGATGGCGAGGACGTTGGGCCATGAATGGGGTGAATTGTGAGATCTCATATCGATTGGAGAAAGAAACGAGTGTCAACGAGGACATTGGGTATCGAAGGGAGGTGGATTGTGAAATCCCACGCTGGAGAGAGGAACGAATATGCGTGTTAAACTTAAATTATGAGTGTTCATATGATCCGATAACTCGATCAATTCAAATTACTCTAACTAAATAATAAAGGTTGAGTTGGGTTAGACATTTTTGGGTCGATTCACGAATTAACATTCTTTTATCTAGCCGAAAATAAGGTTGCAATCTAATCCACTCTTAATATTATATCAAGAAGATTTGTAAATATTAGATATTTAAATTTTATGTAACATAAATGAATTTAGTATTTTTAAAAATAATTAAAAAAAAAAAAAGCAACCGACAAACTAACCTGAAAATAAAAAAAAAGAAATATAAAGGTCGAAAATTATTTAATTTTTCGAATGTTTATTTGATTTAGTGTTATATATATATATATATATATATATAAAGTTTTGACATTCATGATCAATTTTTAGGCTCAACTTACCACCCATATAAGTAAATGGGCCTACTGAAAGCCCATTTTCGTATTTTGGTCGGCCTTTAGGCCCACATATATCAAACGTACCAAGAATGGGCCAAAAAGGCCCGCCACTATTTTTCATTATTATTATTTAAATTAATATTTTCTATTCAACAAATTATAAAGTAACCAATTATTAGTTTGAAACTTAAATTTTATATTTTTTATTTAAAAATTATAAAATTAGAAAATGAAATTTCTAAAAGTAGAATTCACTATGAGATTAATATTACTAATTTTTTTAGTTCAATAATTGCCTGATGAAAATTAAATAATCTACCTATAGAACAATAATTAACGACTAAATATGTTCAAATTATTTCGTTGTTATACTCAAATCCAATTTTCAAAAATCTAGATTTAATCGAGTAAATTGGATAATATATCAATTATCATCTCAAGGTAAAAAAAAACTCAGGCACATGCTAATATTTCTGAACGCACATGAATCAAATTAACAGAGGGTTTAAATTGATTCAGAAAAAGTAAAAAAGAAAAACAGTAAATAAATTCATATGGGCAAGAAAGAAGACAGCTTTATCAGTAAAATTCAAAGAAAAAAGTTTTTAACTTTAGTCATTAACCGAATATACCGAGAAAATCAAGGAGACGACTTATCTGCTTCTGTCACTTTGAAGCATTTTTTTTTTACTGTACAGTAAAAAACACACTTAAAAAAATCACATTTTTTCCTACCTCCCATCATTAAAACCACTTTCCCAGGAAACAAACAGAAACCCTAGAGAAAATTTCTCCCTTTTCCTTTGAATTTTGAAAAAAAAAAAATAGCAATAGTAGTCAACTACTAAAGTTCTTAACTTTCTAATCGGATCGACCAACTCAAATCTCGATTTTTGTGCTCGATTAGTCGATTACAAGATTTACTATGACCCATCAACTTGAATTAAGATTTTACATGATATCGAACCAGAAACGAAACTTTTTAGATCAAACACGATTGAATCATTAAAAATTAAATTTAACAATAAGTTAAGATCTTGAGTTCGAGGAGTTATTTAACATGGTATCGAAAAAACTCGATCTTAGGATTGAATCGACGATTTTGTCGAGTGGAGCATGTATGTTATGTATGCATGCAAGAAGACATACATGATTGATTGACATGAGAAGAGAGTAAATAATTGAAAGCTGATAATCATGAGAACATACCCACATAATTGCAAACCCTAGAACGTGGTGAGGCGGGTGGTAGCCTTGTTGCTAGGGCTTGGTCGAACAAAAACAAGTAGATTACATGTGAAGATGAACAAAGTAGAGAAGAAAGAGAAGAAATTGTGGGATTCTTTTGAAAACCCAGATGGGAAACATGAAGAAATTGTGTAATTCTTTAAGTTTGATCATAAAAGAGACAAACCCATATGGGATTTGATGAGTTTTAGCAGAAAAAGAGGAAGCTTTAACAACTATATGAAGCAAAGTTGAGAGATTTGAAGATTGATCGCTATCAAATGAATGAAGGATCAAATCGGACCAAGATGCTTGATTCCCCAAAAGAGCAAGCTTTGTGTTTATGAGAGGATTGGTTTAGATCCTTTCATGGTGGTGGAGGAATAGTCCTTCGTGGTGGTGGTGGGGGTGGTTGGTGGGTGTGGAGAGAGAAAGAGAAGGAAGGGGAAGGGAGGTGAGGGTGTAATGATGGAGGAGGAGGAGGAGGAGGAGGTGGTGGTGGAGGAAGAGGGGATCATGATGATGATGATGATTTTTGTTGGGTGTTTTCTTTGAAAGGTTGGAGAAAAATCCAAGGCCTTTGGTGCTATGATGATAATCATCTCTTTCTTCGCTCTCTCTTAATGAACACGAAGAGAGAGGAGAGAGGAGAGAGAGAGATTATTAGGAAAGGAAATGGATGGAGTGGAAGCTTTTTGTTGCCTTCTCTCTCTTGTTTCTATGTAAAAGAGAACGTAGAGGTTCTAGAGGAATACTAGTATAACCTACCTCGAGAACGGATAATTTTTCACTGTTGGATGTATTGGGGTTAGAATGATTTTTGGTTGATGGGTTTTCTAGCCTAGCTCTCACGAGAACGGATAATTTTTCACTATTGGATGTATCGGGGTTAGAATGGTATCTGGTTGATGGGTTTTTTAGTCTAGCTCTCACGAGAACGGATAACTTTTTATTGTTGGATGGTCAGGGTTAGAATGGTTTCTAGTTGATGAATTTTCTAGCCAAACTCTTACAAGAACGTACAATTTTTCACTATTAGATGTATCAGGATTAGAATGGTTTTTGGTTGATGGGCTTTTTAGTCTAGCTCTCATGAGAACGGATAATTTTTCACTATTGAATGTAACAGGGTTAGAATGGTTTTTGGTTGATGGGTTTTTTAGTCTAGTGCAAACGAGAACGGATAATTTTTCACTGTTGGATGTATCAGGGTTAGAATGGTTTCTAGTTGATGAGTTTTCTAGCCTAGTTCTCACGAGAACGGATAATTCTTCATTGTTGGATGTATCAGGGTTAGAATGGTTTCTAGTTGATGAGTTTTCTAGCCTAGCTCTCACGAGAACGGATAATTCTTCACTGTTGGATGTATCAAGGTTAGAGTAACTTCTAGTTGATGGGTTTTCTAGCCTATCTCTCATGAGAACAGATAATTCTTCACTGTTGGATGCATCAAGGTTAGAACAATTTCTAGTTGATGGGTTTTGTACAGTTAGATGTGACAGGAGTCGGGATAATGTGGTTGGTAGTTTTATATTAGTTAAATGTACATAACAAACTCATAAACTCGATGATTATCTAACACTATAAGATAGTTATCTAACATATATAGTAGTTGTAAGATCTCACATCGGTTTGAGAGTAGAACAAAACATTCCTTATAAAGGTGTAAAAACCTTTCTCTAACAAACGCGTTTTAAAGCGGACAATATCTGCTAGCGATGAATTTGAGCAATTATAGTAATATCTACATATGTCTTAACCCATTGAATTATGGTTCGGTCGAACATTTTCAAAACCGAAGAGCTCGATCTAGCATGTGGAATGGCAGCTAAGCTCTGCAAATGTGATGGGCGTAGGGAATATGCATAATTGTTGGGATTCACCAAAGCTTCCATTTTTTGGCCTTTAAAAAGGAAGCTTGGGAAGAATATAATTTAAAATTTTATAATTATTAATTATTATTTTAATTGATGGTAGTAAAAGGCTGTTTGTGACTGTATCTTGTATAGATAAAATCCCTTATTTGGGAGCTTTATTGGGCTTTGGTAAAGAAGGGAATATTTTTTGCAGTTTATTTAATTAATTAATTAATTAATTTTATTAAAACCCACTAAATTAAATTAAATTAAATTAAATTAAATTATAGATCATCCACAAAACCTCTTTTCATCCCCCTTTACTTTAAATTAATGCTTTTTAAAGTTTGATTTTCCCCTTATTTTTTAAGATTTAGTGGTCGAATTTTTAAATAATTAACCGAAACCCTAATTTGCAACGGTTTACCATACCTCGTAGGAAACTCTCCTCGGTATATCTTAGACCAGAACGAATCATTGGTCTTTCTATACCGAGCAGCAAAAAGGAAAAAAAGTGAAGTAGACTCTTTCGTAGAATTCCGATGACTTATCCCGGGTAAATAACTGACTTAAACTTAGTGCTTGTGAAACAGATGTTTAATGCTAGCTGTTACCGAGAAAGAAAGCAAACTCGTAGAGCAAAAAAATGAGTTATTGGGAGGGCCGTGAGAAATCCACTTTCGTGGTTGTCCCTATCGAAAGCTAGAACTCGCCACTTTCTCTAATAATCAGTGTGGAATGAGTCAAAAATCGCACGAGATTCAGATACGGGGCAACAAGACTTTCAGGGGGGGAAATATTTCTTCATATAAACAAAACATTCGTTGTTGCCGATTAGATCACTTTCTCTTAGCAATAAATAACCTATTTATGTAGTGCTCGACATTCCTACGTGTATGACCCTTTC